GAAAACCAAATGCGACAATCACGTGCTATTTTCAATTGGCTGGTACTACTGCACATGGTATACCATCAAAGGATTGTTCTGCCAATATTGAATCGTTAGGCAGTGAAAGAAATAAAACAATTTATAAATTTACTCCTCCTGAAGATGTGAATGGTATTAAGGGTGTTTATATTTCTTGGGATTATATTATTAATCCTAGCACCCCTAATATTGTTTTTCGTGGAGGTAACTATAAAGCTTTTAAAATCACATACTTTAATTTAGTAAATAATTGTAATTATATTCTGCCAAACAAAATAGAATTAGATGATATTAAAAATAATTATCCAGATCGTGATATCCAAAAATACATAGATTATCTCCAAAATTACTACATATTTCCTCAAGAAAACTTGGTATCTATTTAATATTAAATACACCAGTGGTTAATATTTTAATATTTTGTAATTAAAGTCATTAATATGATCAATTTATAATTTAAAATTAGGGTAATCAGTATTATATTAAATGGACCAGAAGAAAATACTTGGTTCGTGATTGGACCAATTATTTAGGTTTTCCTAATTATCATATTTCACTTCGTATTGCAGAGCCAATAGCTGCAGGTAACTACAAATTTTAATTGTATGATTGATTTAAAGTTTGCAATATATAATGATTTAACCTTTTCTAATTTCAAAGCACCTTTTGAAAACTTTGTCAATCGGACTGAACTATATATTTACCCATATGGGATTGATAGCTATAGTTTTGCAGATGAATATTTTGAAAGCATTGAAACAGAAAAAAGGTGATTGCATATATTTTTGAATATTTTTATTTTTTACTTTTCTAACAAATTTTTTTATCACTACTAGAAATCAAACCGTAAGTATTATATGATATTAGTTAAATATCAAATTTAAATATATTTGATATTTAAACGCAGTTTTGTTTTCTCAGGTTTTAAGCAATATTGGTTCACTTGGAGGTGCAATTGGCATAATAATAGGAATTTATGCTATTTTATTTGGTAAGTTATTAATTCATTTTTAAATAAACATAATATCCCATAAAAATTAACTTTTAAATAAACAGGTAGGCCACTCCTGAGCCCATGGGGAGTCTTCCAAAATTGTTGTTTGTATAAACCAAGATCAAAAGAAAAACTTTTAAAAAATTTACCAATGGTTCCTTTGACCGAAAAAAACCAATTAAAAATTGAAGACCAAAATGTTAAAGAAGAACTTGCTTCTCTTATCACAAAATTCCATTCTTTGGAAACAATTCTAAGAGAGTACGTTATAAACTCAGATTTTCTTGACGAATTGGAGACCGGAAAAAATGAGACTAGTAATGATTAGAGTAATAAATCTCTTATGTAAATGCCATACATAGTATTTATTATGTATGAGATATTAATTTATGTTTCCGAAATTTTATTCACTCTTACGTTTTGATATTTGAAAAAATGCCAACTTTTTCAAATAATTCTCCATTATAATATTTTTTTAATAAAATAAAGGGTTTCAGTTTATATCTAATTGTTAGTAAACTTAGAGCCAGCAGGCTAGTTAATAAACTAATTAAATTACCTTTTCTTTTTTGTGTTCATTGAGAATATTTTGCTGGAATCAACTGGTTATAACAATAAGCATTGTAATTTGACAATTTTTTAACGGTAGAGCCTGAATAATTTTTCTTTAGATCATTGGAGTATGGGAACGAAATTTTATTTCTTCTGCTAGATTGCTACAGTATTTTTTGATTGATTTTGTAATTTAATAATTACTTGATCATACTTATCTGTTGATATGGATATTTTGAGCCCAGGCATAATTGCAATGAGACATAGCATCGATGTTACAATGTTCTAT